CAAGGATGCTCCAGACTAAAGAAGGATAAAATCCCTTAATCCCGATGGTCGGATAAGGATTTTAAAGGTTTTACCTCTATTCTTCCTATTGTGCCCCGCCCTTCTGACCCCTGGGAGCCCACACCCACTGCTTATACAAAATTGAGTCAAATTGGCCCAAGGATGCTCCAGACTAAATCAGGATAAAATCCCTTAATCCCGATGGTCAGAGAAGGATTTTAAAGATTTTACCTCTATTTCTCCTATTGGGCCCCGCCCTTCTGCCCCCTGGGAGACAACACCCACTGCTTAAACAAAATTGAGTTCCCTTGGCCCAAGGATGCTCAAGACTAAATTAGGATAATATCCCTTAATCCCTATGGTAGAAGAAGGGTTATAAAGGTTTTACCTATATTTCCCCTATTGGGCCCCGTCCCTCAGGTCCCAGGGGGGCCACACCCACCGTTTATACAAAATTGGTTCCCCTTTACCCAAGGATGCTCCACACCAATTATGGACCAAATCCTTTCATTCCCACAGAAGAAGGATTTTAAAAATTTGTTATATTTCCCCTGTTGGGCCCGCCCCTCAGCCCACAGGGGGACCAGACCCACCGTTTATACAAAATTGGTTCCCCTTCACCCAAGAATGCTTCAGACCAAATATGGACCGAATCCTTTCATTCCTACAGAATAAGAAGGATTTTAAAGAATTTGCTATGTTTCCCCTATTTGGACCCGCCCCTCAGGCCCCTGGGAGGCCAGACCCACGGTTTATACGAAATTGGTTCCCCTTCACCCAAGGATGCTTCAGACCAAATATGGACCGAATCCTTTCATTCCTACAGAATAAGAAGGATTTTAAAGAATTTGCTATGTTTCCCCTATTTGGACCCGCCCCTCAGGCCCCTGGGAGGCCAGACCCACGGTTTATACAAAATTGGTTCCCCTTCACCCAAGGATGCTTCAGACCAAATATGGAACGAATCCTTTCATTCCTACAGAATAAGAAGGATTTTAAAGAATTTGCTATGTTTCCCCTATTTGGCCCCGCCCCTCAGGCCCCTGGGGTGCCAGACCCACGGTTTATACAAAATTGTTCCCCCTTTACCCAAGGATGCTTCAGACCAAATATGGAACAAATCCTTTCATTCCTACAGATGAAGAAGGATTTTAAAGAATATTTTGCTATGTTTCCCCCATTGGGCCCCACCCCTCAGGCCCCTAGGGGGCCAGACCCACGGTTTATACAAAATTAATTCCCCTTCACCCAAGAATGCTTCAGACCAAAAATTGGACCAAATCCTTTCATTCCTACAGAATAAGAAGGATTTTAAAGAATTTGCTATGTTTCCCCTATTTGGCCCCGCCCCTCAGGCCCCTGGGGGCCAGACCCACAGTTTATACAAAATTGTTCCCCCTTTACCCAAGGATGCTTCAGATTAAATATGGAACAAATCCTTTCATTCCTACAGAAGAAGAAGGATTTTAAAGAATTTGCTATATTTCCCCTATTTGGCCCCGCCCCTCAGCCCCAAGGGGGGCCACACCCATCATTTATACAAAATTTGTTCCCCTTCACATACAGTTTTTTTCATGAACATATAAAGTGTTTCAGCACCCATTGTGACATTTCGAATTTCAATAGGACAGAGGTGGTGGCGGTGTTTGACATAAATGGTGACACTTTTGATAATTCTTGCGATGACTATTTTGCCTTTGATTGTTTGTCAAAACAGTGAGAAATATGACTCTTAAAAGTTTGATTCATAAATGGAATATCAGTAGCTAGTGTTATATGATAGGGGTGTCACAATGTTACAATACAGAATGAATATATTGCGATACGTATCCCGATATATTGTCATAGGAAAGATATGTTCAATTTTATAATAAGTTGTCAGAATGTTATCTGACCAAATTTGGTCAAAATCTGCTCAGTCGTTCATGACTAGTAGCGCTTTAAAGGAAAAGTTGACGGTCGGACGATGGACGGATGGACGACGGACGCTGCGGTATGGCATAAGCTCACCATGGTCCTTCGGACCAGGTGAGCTAAAAATGTAGGAGAAAATCTCCGGATAAAAAAATCGAATACTGAAATAAACAAAGGGCAATAACTTTTACAAAAATTGTTGAATCAAAATTCTTTTCAAGGAAACACAACAACATATCATGATTACTTAGCCTACAAAGTTTCAAAGAGATCCGTTGAAAAATGTAGGAGGAGATTGCCAGACAAAAATCAAATACTGAAATGAACAAAGGGCAATAACTTCTTTTAATTCTTTTAATGGAGACATAACTTCATATCATGATTATAATGTACACCAAGTTTCAAAGAGATCGGTCAAAAAATGTAGGAGGAGATTGCCGGACAAACAAAAGTTTACGCCGGCTGGCCGAACAACGCCATACCATAATACTCCCGTCAAATTTGACGGGCGTATAAAAATACTATTTAATGTGTAGAGTAGCAAATTTTCTTAACTAGTTTGAATGTTTTAGTAGGACCAGGTGAGCTAAACAATAATGGCATGGAAGAATGAGGATTTGGGCTTCAAGTTGGTGTAAAGGCATAAAAACTAAATTTGACAAACAACATTAGTCTGTGTCACCTAGAAAATTAGATACAAATTTATGCATATATGCAACATGAACTCGAGTCATGGAATGACCGACAGCAGTTATTGTTGTAGTCAGAGTCTTAAATTATGACTAAAATGGTCACATAAACTTATGATTTGTCTCTTAAACAAAAATGATGTGTGCATTAAAAACAATCTGGTAGTTGTTATACATATGCTATACATATTCATGGTATGATAATTTCCTGTCCTCATTTAACTACATGTACACTTCAAGCATGTAGCTACATGATATGTTTGCACATTTTTATGTAATTTAAACGCTTTCCAGACATCAGTGTGATGAAATTTATAAGAAAGCAGTCCAAATGTGCATTTTCTATCGTTTATCTGTAATGAAATGAATCAAAACGTCTATGATAACATAAACAACATCATTTATCCCAGCCTATGGGCCACCGACTACTTTTACACAGTGCTAAAATGGATATATGCATCATATCTAATATCATTCTACTCCAGTAAATTAAATGATGTAATAAGTAATCGAAATATTACAATCACATAAACATAGGTCATCATGTATGTTTAACCTTGAAATTGGCCAGATATCTTTCAGAAAATAAAATTAAACATTTGTGCAAACAAAATATAATGAAATTTACGCGAAAATATTTTTAAGATCAGTGTGAGGAAAGATATTTATATAAATAAGAATTGATGAAAACTTGATTGAACCTTAGGTGTTTTCAATATAAAATCTCTTTAATAAACAAATTTCCAAAGCTAAAAGTCACAGAGTGTCTCTGCTGAACTTTGACACCTGAATACAGATCCATTT